TTGATGAGATGAGGGCTCTGTCAAATTATTGGGCAGGCCTTGGATTAGTTCAGTTGTAGCATGGCCCCGCACTCCACTGAGATCATTTAGGCAATTACCAAGAATAAAGACAGCAGCGGTGTTGAACAGCTCCACTTCAAAGGCTTGCACCAGGCGAACAGTTACAGCACACTGGTCAATTTCCATACAAACCGCACCCCCCTCTCCTCGGCCTCCCCTTCTCAACATGCCTCAAGGCATTCTGGCAGTGCTAATGAACACTCGCTGCCTTCCCTGCCAAACAACACATGAACACACTCACACTTCTAACTCCGATGAGAAGTTCATGATGCACTCTCCACTTGTGTTTTCAACACAAAGAGGACGAGTATGCCTTGACAACAACTACTTGACTCTTTATTGCCCAATTGTTGGCTGGGCGTCAGGCTCCTTTGTCCCCTTTTCCTGCCTGTAAAAACTGCGGAGCTTGTGAAAATTGTATGTTTTTCAGACAATCACGTCGCCTTCAAATCGACATCAAATCAACGGCTTTTGAGAAGAGACTATTTATTTTGCATTCTAAAGGCTGCAGTGGTCTCACGTAACTGGTGTAATTATTGTCATTGTTTAGGAAAATATTTTCTTATACATAGCTCCAGCTAGATGCCAAAATTGCACTTTTATTTTGTAACACTACGTGAAATGGAAGAAACTGATATTATATGAGTAATAAGGCAAAGGGAAACACTCTTTCATAAGCAAATAGAGGAAAAGAGAGGGAATAGAGCACATTTGTATTATTTTAAGATTCAAAACGTGATTATTCTGTGGGTCGAACAATTGTAATATCAATTAGATTTGTTGATATTTCATCAAAAATATCTCAATTTGTGTTCTGAAGATGAACAAAGGTCTTACGAGTTTGGAACAACATTGCTTCTGCAATCATGCCCTATCTGCTAAGTGTTCTACAATCTGGGACAAGCTGGAGATATGAGAGCGAGGAACAACGTCTTTAATCATATCTTGAGATGTTTATTGTTTATCACCGATTGGAAAATTGGACCAACAGTCACTCACACTGTTCTTTATAATGATCATCACCATTAAAAAGCCTCCGTAGTTGCTGGCCGTTGCACCTGAGCGAGGCAATTCCTTAAAGGTGTAGCTGTCTGGATATTAAAAATGCAGGATCTGTTTGTCGGCTGTGACCTCCGTGTTTGTCAGGCTTCGGCATGGATCGCGGATGGGTTGACAGGATCAGTCATTGCAGATGGCACATTCTTCGGTGCAGCGGCAGGCCGCGTGGAACTGCAGCCTGACGCCTCCAATAGGCCGACAGGCCTTTGAATTTGAGACAAACCCGGAACGTCACTGCCAGTTTGGGGGAGTCACTGGGTCTGACAGCCCTCCACCATCATTCCAGCGCTGCCTCTTCTCTTACGACTGTGCCAGAGCAGGCCAAATTGGTCGATTTCAACCCCTTCTGGATGCTGCTTTTAAAGATCCAAGACAAACATACAAGCAACCAGATCCCTCACTTAGGATTGAGTTTCGACAAAATATAGACCCTTATCACAGGTGATAAATAATTCAGATGCAGCAAAATCGGACTTTGTAAAATGTTTATTGATACGGCATGGGCGGTGTCAGACCGGTGAACTGGATATTGATAACGCCATCTGAGCACACGGGTTGGAGGGGTGAACGAAAGGCGCATGAGGGCTCCAGAAAGAAAGACAGCGAATAATGCATAAATAAAAATGTTTCTTACAAACACAGAGACTCTTGTCATAAATGTAACCGATTTAGGGTGAATCGAGAGCCGAGAGAGAAAGAAAGTAGGAGATGGAGAGATGAAATGAGGCGAAGGCGGCTGATAAAACAATGACACGAAGGCACGAGCGATAAAGTCGTTGCTGAAAAACTGGAGATGAAAGGCAGAGAAATAAAAGCGTGGATGTCATTAGAAGTCATCTTTTCATTCCCTCACAAAAGCAGTTAATATGAGCTTGAACATACAGATATATTAAAGCAGAATATTCTCATTATTATTAATACTAATAAGGAGAGATCACATTGTGAAGAACAGCCTCGGCGCATGCTAATAGTCGCAGGACTCATAATGGTAATGTCATGAGATTCAGCTTCTCCGGCTCATCACCGCATCCGTTTTATTCCTATCTTCCCATTCAGCTGACAGGAGTCATATTCCTCTAAATCTAACACTGGGGCCCTTTAGCACTGATAATATAAAATAATGTATTCTTTACATTTATTAAATACACACTTGGAAATATAATATAGCGCCTCGCCCCCTCTCCCTCCCTCTCGACCCCCTCCCTCCCCGTTTCCGTTCCCAGGTTGTGCGGTGACGAAAAGAGGCTGCCAGTGTCAGGGAAATCGGCCGGCGAGTATTTGTTTGAGATGCAAAACTGTTTAAATCTTTAATAAAACGACAAGGATGGAATATCAGACATCATCTGCCAGGCGTGAGGGACAGGGCATTTATATTGTGTCATTTGAAGGCCTAGGAGATGTGCGCGTGTGTGTGTGTGTTATGGCCTTATAGGGTTGAAAATTGTTCCATGATGACATTATTCTTATTTGAAATATTCCTCTCGTCTCTCTCTCCGTCCAATGGTGCCGCACCAGAGGCCATTTTAATTCCCAGCCCTCCTGGCAGCAATCCTTCAAACATTTCCAAGACAAATTTCCATCCCTCTTAACGTGTTATTAATGCCACTTGGCTTTATTTCTAAATAAGTTATGTTCGGGAGGTGAGAGAGATTCAAAGATGGTGCCATATCACTTAGAAAAGGAAAACGCATGGGGAAATGAGACCATTCTCTTAAGTTATTTTAGAAGCATCATTATGGCGCATCTGCTTTTTGCGTGACTGGCCTCATAAGCCGCCCGTTCCCTGCTCATATTGGAACAGTTTGATGAAAAATTACAACAACCATTACGTCTGCTTATCATAATAGCCTGCTTGCAATAGACAACAGCCTTCGCATGTGAACAATTCCTAATGTTCCTGCAATCCAGGCATTTAGAGCAAATGAGCAGGGTCATCAGCGGCATGCAGCCGCTTCGGCTCTCACGTGGTAATATCCAGAACGGGATGTCATTCCAGACTCGGCCGTGGAAAGACTGCAGCATCCCCTAATGGTTTACAACAGGTACAGTGAATTCGCCCAGGCTACAAGACACGTTTTGCCAGCAGGTGCATGCTTTCTCGGTCTCTCATCTTTGTAACTTGGCAGTCAGTGCCAGCCCAACAGCAGTGAATGTGGACTACTGGGAGCGATATCAAGCAGGCCGCCACATGAGCGAGCGAGCAGACATACAGGGGTTTGTTTAGCAAGCAGAAGCTTTGTTTTTATGGGCGCAGAGCTACAGCAACGGGGTTGACGGAAGACAGACGTCTGTCAAAAACAAGCAACGGCTTTGAATGAATGAAGGCTGGGGGTCTTTAAAAACAATAGTGGAGTAAGCAAGCGAAATAGCAAACCAATGAGAGAAACACACACGCGTACAGAGCTGGAATAGACAAACACGCATAGTATGTGTTCCCGTATCATCCAGTACAAACAAAAAGGAACAAAATTACTGAATATGAAACCGTGTTTGGGAAAAGTGGGTTATTTTCGAGCGTCGTTTCACTCTTTTCAAACCACGCGGAGCCTGATGTTATTCAGATTAGTACTGAAAGGGGAAGAGGTGCTGCTAAACCTCAGAATAGCTGGCTGAGATGGATCAGACTGGTGAATATTTGCTCTCTGGTCTCGTGACCATAAATCGACAGGAAGATGGAAACAATTTTGAGTTAATTATTGTGCTTGTGAAATAATCAACAAAGACACTGCTATTACATTGCAGGGAATGTAATATGTATAATTGTGTAAAAACAATATCCATCAGGACACGATACTCATCATATCTCTGGCAATCATCTGCAAGCAACAAACTGTGTGCAGTCAATAAAGCACTATAAAAAGGTGGATCTACTGAATTAATCTATTTATCCAGAAATGCATTAAAATTCACACGTACAATGACTTAAATACACAATATTTTGGGGACCATAGCATCTAAATTTACAGGGGGATACAACTGTCCTGATATCATAATGAAGTAAAAAAAAAAAAAAAGCATCCTTAAGATTGTTATTTAAATGTGTGTGTCTAAACACAAATTACACTTGAAAAGTTTGTGGTCAGTAAGTCTTTTTTTTTTTTTTAAGAAATTAATATTTTAATTCAGCAAGGACGCAGTAAATTGATCAAAAGTGACAGTAAATTCATTCATAATGATACAAAAGATTTATATTTTAAATAAATGCTGTTCTTTTGAACTTTTCTTTCATAAAGGAGTTCTGAAAAAAAAAAAAAAAAGTATCATGGTTTCCACAAAAATATTAAGCAGCACAACTGTTTTCAACACTGATAATAAGAAATATTTTTGGAGCCGCAAATATTAGAAATGTTTCTGAAGGATCATGTGACTGAAGACTGGAGTAATGATGCTGAAAATTCAGCTTTGCACCACAGGAATAAATTACATTTAAAATATATTAAAATAGAAAACAACTCTTTTAAAATTGTAATAATATTTCACATTATCACAGTTTTTACAGTATTTTTGATCAAATAAAGATGGATCAGATCAAATAGTCGCTTGTTGATCTTGACATATTGACATAAATAATCAGGAAGATGGAAACAATTTTGAGCTAATTGTAGCACTTGAGAAATAATCAACGACACCATGCTATTATAATGCAAGGAATGTAATATGTATAATAGGTGTGTGTCAGTCACACTATGAAAAATATCCATCAGGACATGCTTAGATCTCAGGTAATCATCTGCATGCAACAAATGGTGTGCAATCAATAAAGCACTATAAAAAAAGTGTTGTTTTTTTTCCGGGAATCCTCAATCAAACATTATCACTGATGTATTGGTCACATCTCTCATATAAGAAAACACTTAAGAGCAAAAATATCTCCTCCATACCATATGACACAGCTGCAATAGAGACGGACTGCCTGTGAATACACTCACTGTGCCACCATCAGTCTGAGAGCGTGTAGAGAGAGTGAGACACTCGACGTCCATCACTCTGACGCGCAAGAAATCAGATACTAGATATACAGCTTCAGCATAGCACACGGGCCTCCACAGCAGCTCTTCGGCTGGGCTTGTCATCTAAATCAGTGGTTTCCAACCCTGGTCCTGGAGGCACCCCAACACTGCACATTTTGCATGTCTCTGACATTTCTCTGACACACCAATTTCAGGTCTTAAAGTCTCTACTAATGAGCTGATGACCTGAATCAGGTGTGTTTGATTAAGGAGACATGCAAAACGTGCAGTGTCGGGGTGCCTCGAGGACCAGGGTTGGGAACCACTGATCTAAATATTGCATGAATAACACAGGCAAGGCCTAGAATGCAGTTAGACACCGCTGATAGGAACAGATGTCCCTCCATGCCCTCAATGTATTTAAAATAAGCTTTGCTTGACCACTAGCCCAGATCTACAAATACTCATCCTGTCAGTCAAGAGGCCGCAGAGAAGACAGGCCATATTGTTGAGCGTAAGCTACTGTGAGCTTTGTAAAATTGGGTTATAGAGAGAATAAGATGTCTTTAATATCTGTTATTTCTCCTACTGAGCACAAATATAGAATTTTGTCTTATTTAATAATTTATTCACAACATTTATTCACAAATACATTAAAATGTATATATTTGACTTTTTTTTTTTTTTAAGAAATGTATACTTTTTTATTCAGCAAGCGTGCATTAAATTGATCAAAAGTGAAAGCAACTATTTTTAGTTGGGTCTTTCAATACAAAACATTTTTATTTCAAATAAATTCTGTTCTTTTGAGCTTCCTATTCATCCAAGATGCCTGAAAATATGATGTATTCCACAAAAATATTAACATGCACAAGTCTTTTCAACTAAATGTTTCTCGAGCAGCAAATCAGCATATTAGAATAATTTCTGAAGGATCATGTGAAACTGAAGACTGGAGTAATTATGCTGAAAATTCAGCGTTGCCGTCACAGGAATACATTACATTTTAAAATATATTCAAATAGAAAACAGCTATTTTAAATTGTAATAATATTTCACAATATTGTTGTTATTACTGCATTTTTGATCAGATAAACACAGACTTGATGAGCATAAGAGACTTCTTTTTTGACCAAATCATAATCATGTATTGTATCTCCTGAATTAATAAATAAAAAAATACAAATTCAAAAAATTAATAAAATATTTTTTGTACCTTGAAAATATATTTATATTTTAATTATACTTACCTTGAAAATATATTTATTAAAAATTACTTATATGTTTAAAATACTTTTCAAAAATACACCACAACAAGTCCTACACAGAAATACTAACTCATCCAATGGTGTGAGTCTGAATGGCAGGACTATCTTTTAGTTTGACCAATGGCAGTCAAAGGAAACGCTTGGAAAGTTAGTCGTTATTTTTTTCAACTGTGTTTGGTGAAGAAATTACACATTCCACTTTCTCATTCTCATATTTTTCTTCAGAGAAAAAAAGAGTCATGTGTATCTCCTTCAAAAGAAATCTCAACAATGTCACACACAGCACTCTTTGAATGCCTGATTTCTGCATGGTGGGATTGCAGAAAAAAAAATAACAAAGCAGAAAGAATGATTTGATTGTAAAATCTGCAGATTTATTACAGCAGCGTGGATTGGTGATATAGCAATGCTTTGATATTAACAAACAGCCAGATGTCCGACCGACACATCCGAAGAACCAAAAAAGAAGCAAAACAACAACAAAAACCCAACTGCTTTTTTCACTAATCTGGTCAGGAACTGGCAAAACTGTAAAATCGTCTTCTCTGCCGATAGGCCTGGCAGAACGTATTTGAGTGTAAAGTAATTTGCCATTCAAGTATTCTCTCTGATGAGAAAGGGCCCGGCGGTGAGTGGTTTCGCCGTGCTTGTCGCTGGCCTGAAGACAAGCTGTCTGCCTGCTGAAATCTCACAAGCTCAAATAGTCAAGTGGAGATAAAGACAAAGAGAGGCTTTGCCAATTCTCAGAGAACTCAGCAAATTCCAAAAGATCAGAAAGCACCACGTCACTTTGCCTCAGAGCAATCTCTACATTATGAAGTTTAATCCTCTCTGATCTGCATCAATAATTACTATGGCAGAGGCAACTGCTCGCCTTCCATTACCGCTAATTATAACTCTGCCATTGATAATCCTTTTAATAACCATCAGATAGGCCCAGCACTGAAGGCGGGCTATGGATAATGAACACTGGGGGTGGAGTGAATGATAATGGTACTGTTCACCTTCTCACAGATTTATGTGTGTTTGAGGAAAGTTTAGAATAATGGTGGCATCAACACGCAGCTTGAAAACGCATTTGTGTATGTGTATGTGTATGTGTGTGTGTGTGCGTTTAGCCACGGCACATCTCACCTACACATTCTCGCATGCTGTTTATTTGCACATATGAAATTGCACAAAGACAACAGACGGTGTGTGCCGAGCTTAAAGACAGCCTGTTGAGGGAAGCTGTGTCAACAAACGTTCACTAGAGACAGACTGAGCGTAAGACAAAGCAAAAGTCGGAGAAAGAGATGGATGAGTAGAAAGAAAGAAAGAGGGTCTTGGCCAGACCCGTCCCTCTCCAGAGCAGTATAAATTGATCTATTAAGTCCCCTCCATCTCTCCCCGTTCCCTCCCGTCCTTTCTCTCATATCCATCTCTTTCTATCCGGGAGCTGCTGGGAAAATCTGATTACTTTATACATGAGGCTGGACTGAAGGTGGTGGGCAGACACAGATAAAAAGGTTGAGGAGAGATTGGGTGAGGAGGTGAACTGAAAGATGCAAATCAGCTGCTGGAGAGAGAGATGGAGTGAAATCAAAACATCACAGCCACAGCCGAGCAAAGTGGCCACCAAAACATGAAAACATTCACACAACAACAGTATGGACACTGTGGCTCTGTTTTCTACAACCTGCTCCTACAACAGTCAGGCTACTAAATATTTAAAAGCGATATTTAGAAGCGATAATTACCACCTTAAATTGATTTCCATGGACCTTATTAAATGTATACATCATCGTTCATGCCAAATTCTTACATTTAATCAATAAATTCAATTAGAATAATAAGGCACTATAGCTCCAATTAAATCAGTACCAGCAAAGTCCTTTTTTGCACTGCAGACAGAAGTGGCATTTAGATATATTTACTCATACAGTTTATTGCAGCTAAGAGGTGGCATGAATGCATTTACACTTCAGTTACAATTGCATTATTAAAGGAGACATATTATGCCCCTTTTTACAATATGTAATATAAGTATCTGGTGTCCCCAGAATGTGTCTGTGAAGTTTCAGCTCAAAATACTCCACAGATCATTTGTTATGTCATTTTGAAAATGCCTATTTTGAGTGGAAGCAGAAACATAGGCTGGGACTGTAAATAGTGTTCTGTGCTCGTCTGTGCAGCCAAAGGCAGAACAGTTAGCATGCTTTGCTCAAACTTTCGCCATGGCATTAGAGCTGGTACACCGTTGTCGCTTGCGAAATCAAAATGACGGCGTCATGGGTGGAAACGTGCAGATTAAGGGGCGGGGCATTATATATTATAATGAGATCCCTTTGCCACGTCACCAAGTGAGCAAAATCAAACGCGCTCGTTTTCTCAGACGCTTGCAGAAAAAGGCTTCCCAAAACAAAGTTACTGGGTTAATCTCTTTCACGTTTCCTTGGTTGGTAGATGCACCGGGGACCTGATTATAGCACTTAAAACCTGGAAAAGTCAGATTTTCATGATATGTCACCTTTAATGCCATGAGATTTTCAAGTGTGGTCTCATGATTTTGGACTCTACAGCATGGTATTTGAATATAGCAATCATACAGTGCCATTACCATCTGATACAATCTGATCACTCTACAGATACATATCTTTAATTTACCTACTTTTTCTTTCACTCTTCAATAAATTCCTATCAGAAAAAGAAATATAAGAGAAGCAAACGAAGCCGCACCATTTGAACTGCACCTGTCATTTGCACTCCAGCCACTTTCTCTCCCTGTGCTCAAAGGGACCACTAACTAGAGCTGTCCGTCAGGCAGGCCAGCGCTGGGCCGGGGTGGGGTGGGGTGTGTGTGTGTGGGGGGGTTAATGAGCCAGAGACTGGGCTAGTGAGTGCTAACGCTGAGGAGGGAGTCCATCTTACCAGCCTTCGCCGTGGACGAGAGGCACTGCCTTGAAATGGCGCTGTGCATGCTCTCTTTCTCTCACACTTCTCCTAATGTCATTTCCCTTAATCTCACCCTTTCTCACCGGAGGAGGAAGGAGGGAACGTGTTATCTACCACCAGGCGAGAATAGAACAATAGGAAAAAAATAGTCACCTGCAGTTATAGCTAAAAAAATACACAAACTTTTATGCACACACACGAACGTAAACACTGAGCGTATTCCGACTCGTGTGAGCAGTCTTGCTGCCGCTGTTGCTTTATTATTTCATTAAGCATAAATCCTGTCAGTGATCTCCCACTCCCAGCCCAGCCGGGCCTTCTTGCTCTAGAGTCAGCAGGTTAAATTATAATTTAATTACCAGGCCTTAGCTGAATAAGCTGCCTGGGAGCACTCGCCCCCCAGAATAATTTGAGAATATGGCATCTCTCTATCTCTCTCGCTCGGTCTAACTATCTATTTTTCTTTATCTCTGTCTCTCTCTCATTCTCTCTGATCCACGAGGTCTGGGACCCTAGAGGCCTCTCTCAATATCCCATCTAATTACGTCTCTCAAATCAGACACGTATTACTACAGGAATAGCAGTAATTAAGTTGGATGGGGGAAAAAATTTTTATTGTTCACAAAAAAGTTTTGCAGAGTTCACTCCAGCAAGGATTTGTGGGTGGCCGTGACAAGCCACAGCGCTCACCAAAGCATTCCGCGAAAAAAATTATTCCTTTTCACTGTGATACGGGGCTGAAATTTTAGGCAGCATCATAAGTGATCCAGTCCTTTCATCAAGAATATTCCAAAAAAAAAACAATTTCTAAAAATCTTGCTAATAGAGGCAGCCCTGACACAAATTGCTCAGCTTCACGAGCCCCATTGTCTTTGAGATGAA